AAAAAATGCGTTTTTCTATATGAAGCTATATTTTAAAATGAAATGGAAATCTTTTTTAAAGGTTAAAACCTCAGTCAATTTTATGTCTTACAGGGTTTATACGCAGTACAGTAGTGTATAACTGTATCAATTCAACCGTAAACCTAAAAATTTACCACCAATTTTGAAAGAGATGCATCTTAGCTCAGGAAACTGTTATTGAATATGTCAATGCTGTTGTAATGAAATGCTTATTCTAAGTGTGGTTATTAAATGAATAATAAAAAATTAGAATAAATAAATAAAATATAGGTTCTACAAATTCATAAAACAATAACAAAACCAATGTTTTCCAAGCAGGAACTTTTACTTGATATCTTCTCAAAGCAAACCCTCATATGACCATGCGCCACCAGTTCAAAAATCTACTGTTGTTTCTTTCCTGCTGTATTCTGTACTTGAAGATTTGTGATTTCCAAGCTGGCACGTGTGCCTGTGTGTGTGCCTCTGTGTGTGTGTGTGTGTGTGTGTGTGTGTAGATGTGGTTGTTACTCTGTTTTGTTTGTGAGAAAACAACTGAACTCACTTTATCACTATTCACAACATCCAAGCACAGAGTCAATTTAGGTGCTCATTGATGAATGAATGGAATAAGGAGGTGTGGTATATACACACAATGGAGTACTATTCAGCCAGAAAGGAAAGTGAAATTATGTCATTTGTAGGAACATGGATGGAACTGGACATGATTAGCCTAAATGATTATTTTATGGCGATGGGTATATTCAGTTTTCTACATACTGAGGTTTCAGAAAGCAGCTCTGTATTGCATAGGAATTCATTAATGTTGTACTTTTGGGCAGTGATTCTAAGAGTTGGGCTTCCTTTTACATTCTACTGAGCAGTAGTGCAGTAGGAACCAGACCTGACTGGACACTGATTCATTGGATATGCTTTTTCCCTGTTTTGTCTTGCCCATATCTTTCTCCAGCTCTTCCTCCTTCTTCCCAATGCAATGTTGTCTCTGGCCCCTGTGCTGCAGGTAGCCTCTCAAGGACAAATACTGTCATTTGCATAGGAGGACAGAACCCTAGTGAGATGGGTCGATTCTTAGTGTTTTCAACAAGTCACACATGCTTGGCATTGGCCTTATCAAAATTCACCATTTGTGTATGTTTTTGTGTGAATATTTAAGATGTATGAGCAGTTTAAAAGCTCACATGTCATCCAGGCCTCTGGTAACTTGCTCATGTGAACTTACAACAATATTGACAGCATGCACAAGACCCATGAAAACTCAATCAAAACAAACTCCCAGCACAGGAAAATGGCAGGAGGCCCCAACCTTAGCAGAGGTACTATTGGCAGCTGATTACTTCTGAGTGAGGGAAAGTTAATCGTTTTTAAGGGAGCGACTCTAGATAGATTCAGTAGACTCCAAGGATGTACTCACACTGAGGGGCATCTGGGTACACAAATTTGACTCAATGGGCATATATATATATATATATGAAATCCGGTGGCGTGGAGCTATATGGGGCGCAGATAGAGAAGGGGGGTCTAAATATGATTAAGATATATTGTATGAAATGCCCCAAAATTCATTAAAAAGTATACATTGAGAAAAATATTTTAAATAAAATAAAAAGCTCACATGTATACTGTGTGGCCTAGAAATAGTATATAATCAAGAAAATATCATATGTATCATAAATGCTTAAGATGTAGGTTGATGTTATTCTATTTTGTAATTTACTTACATGAAATATGTACAAATATGATAAAATATTGTTTCTCCCTATTTGCAGGTACAAACTATATGTATCGATTTATTGCCTAGCATTTGGGTTATACATATTCAGATGACAACATGCAGTTTTAAGTAGCTGCATAAATTTAACTGCAGTGTAGGTAGATGTTTCATTGGAGAGGAACACTTGCTAGCAGACAGTAGACCTCAGTTTGAATTCCAAGTACACACAGAAAATAATTCAGGCATAACTTATTGGGCCTGAAACCTCAGTACTGTTGAAGGCAGAGACAAGAGGACATAGCTGGGTCTGGTCGCAGCCATTTGGCTCCAGTTTCCATGAGAACTCCTGTCTGAAGGAAAGAAGGCAAGATAATCACAGAACAAGATATTTGATGCCCTCTCCTTGCTTCCATGTGCATGTTTATAGTCACCTTCATGCACAAACACATGCACACACAGATACAGCCACAAACACACCTACATATTCACACATTCACACTAAATAAAATTATCTGAAGAACATTGTACACTACTGCAGTAATTTTATAACCACCTGTGATTAATGTTGCAATAAATTCAAGTATTCTGAAATGGCATTGTTTTTCCATATTATTCCCTACTTCTAACTTTTGTAGCATATTTTTTTGATTTGACTTTATTTTACCCATAAAGCTGCCAGACAACAGAAAACTAGCTATTATTAGTAAATAATTTAGAACGTCAAATGACATTTGAGGTTTGTTTTTTTTTTAATATGAGGGGATCCATTCCTACAGTCTTGAGATTTCAAGTGTTACCTATGTTTGCATGATTTAACTTTTTAAAAATTAGAGAAGTTACAAAGAAGCACAAAATTATGTCATTTTCAAGAAAATGCATGTAAGTGGACTTTATGCCCATGTTAAGTGTATTATATCAAATGGAAAAAGGCAAATTTCATTTGTTTTCCCTTATTCATGGATCTCAACTTTTATTTCCATATATAAAACCTTGTATGGGCATATGATGAGAAAATAGTAGCAAAGCCTTCTTAGGTCAGTAAAGGACTAATGCAGTGGGGAAGGAATGAGGGTGGAAGCCTAGGGAGGGGGTGGCACACAGTCAGCATACACTATATATTTCTATACAAGTGTCCTTATCAAACTCAGTAAATGTTGTGATTAGTATATACCAACTGGAAATGTTATATTTTATATCCTAGTATCTGGGGTCTGTCAAATGTTACAAGTCATTTGAGAAAGATGTCTTATTTTATTGTTTATGTGTGATAATTCCTTAAATGTTCTTATTTCATAATTGACCTGAAATTTCATCCTGACATGAAATCACAAAACTAAGCAGAGTTCTGAGTGTGTAATAAAAGCAGGTAGTAGAAATCACAGTATCATAAAGCAAGAATTTGCTGACTGGTACCAGGTTGATAAGATAAAGAAATGTGTTTTGGCTATACATGATGGTTGGCAAAATTGTTTCACTTTTACTGAAAATCTTAGGAAGTGACTAATTACAGAACAGTCATGCTGATGATGAACTTTTGCAATCTTTGCTGTATATATTTCAAACCTTGCAGCTGCAAAAATACACTCAGACCTTCATCAAGCTCTTTTGTGTCTGTCACTCGCCGACTACTTGTCCACCCTCTCGACGACCCTGTTCCCATCGGACTGAACTGCCCCAGTCTGGGCTGGTCCATTGCACACCGCCTAATTCCCAGCCTGGGATCAGGCAGACAGACATGCTCATCTAGGACTCTGGTAAGGAAGATCAAGCTCATGGCCTCCCTCACCCATTTCTCTCATCAACCCACACTCTGCTCCTTGCAAGCTTCTCTCACAGGCTGGCTCCAATTCCTTAACCCCAAATCCCAGTACTAACTTCCCAGACCAGATAAACCCATCACCTTACCATACACCCTAAGTCCTCACCCAGGTGGTCTGCTCACCTTCAAATTCCCAGTCTTTGGATAAGACAGACAGACAAGCTCAGCCAGGACACTGGTAAGTCAGATCAAGCTCACTGCCTCCCTACCCCATTTCTCTCATCCACCTGTGTGGGGACCTAAAAGCCCCACCTTGCAGAGGTCCAAGAGGAAGTTACTGGGGGTGCGTCCTGGCTTGCTTTGAAAGTCTGAAGAATACTTCCGCACTGCTGAGGAGTGCATGATCAGTGCATGACCATCCTTAAGATACACCCTCGGGGGAGGGAGGGGATTTCCAGGTGCCTTTATAAGCTCTGTAACACCTGCAACAAATGAGTCCCTGCTTGACTAGACTTCCCATTGCATATGAATGTCCCAGGTACTGGGGACAGTGTGGGCTAGTGAACGGCATGCTTACTCATCCCCAGTCATCACTAGCCGAGGGTCACTGGTTCAAACCCCAGCACACCCACACTTCATCCTTCAGGCCTCTCTCACAGGCAGGCTCCACTTCTGTCACCTCAAGTCTCAAGACTACCTTTGCAAACCAGATTAACTTACCACCTTACCATAGATTCCTAAATCCTCATCTAGGGGGGGTCCCCTTACAGCCAAATCCCAGACTCCAGATCAGGTATACAGGCCTGCTTAGTCATCATCAGTCTCCTACTCAGAAAGAACCTGAAATACCCATCAATTTATCTTCCATACCTAAAAAAGTAGTAACTAAGCTACATAAACAATATTAACAGAACCAAAATTAAATTCAACAAAATAAGAGAAGTTCCTGTTGAACACATAACTGACAAAGACCATCCATATGAAAAACCAGGAAAATATGTTGCCAACAAAACCCATGAGTGCTACAGACATGCAGAACACTGAGAACCACCCTGTAGAACCCCAGGACAGAATTTAAAAGAACAATCATAAACATGATCAATGAATTACAAGAAAACACAGATAAACACTCTAAGAACTCAAAGACGAAAGGCAAAAACTTCTGATGGAAGCTCAAGAATATACAAAAATGCAGCTTAATGAAATATCAAAAACAATTCATAACTCGAACAGTGAATTCACTAAAGAGATAGAAATACTGAAGAAAACCCAAATGGAAATGAGCATGGACTGAAAGACTCAGTAAAACAAGTAGAAACAACAGGAGAAAGTCTCACAGGGAGAATGAATGAAATGGAAAAGATAATATCAAGACTGGAGGATAAAGTTGAAGATCTGGATTCCTTAAGCAAAGACTGTGCAAAATTCAAAAATCCACAAGGATGGAACCCTCAGGAAATATGGGACATGAAACAAACAAATCCATGTATTATAGGCATACAGGAAGGAGAAGAAAATCAAACAAATGTCATCAAACAGCTCTTCAATAGGATTATAGAAGAAAACTAAAATATATATATAGAATATTCTACCCAACCACCAAAAAATATACTTTCTTCTCAATAGCTCA